CTTTGATGTTACCATTGTAATTGTTTTGGGGTGCCATGAACAGTGCCTGTATAAGACATCGAACTTAATTGATAAATGTGTGTGTTATGTGTTCTGACTACTCCACCTATCAGTTGTTTCCTATGTCTCTCCTCCTCCTCGGCCTCCCTATTTCCTGAAACACAATAATATTGCAGTTAGGCGAGGTGGTAACCGTACAATGTCCTCTGAGTGTTGAAGTGAGAGTCGCATGTCTCTCACATTAAATCAAAAGCTAAAAATGATTAAGCTCAGTGAGGAAGGCATGTCCAAAGCTGAAGTAGGCGGAACGCTAGGGCTCTTGTGCCAACAGTTAGCCAAGTCGTGAGTAAAGGAAAAGTTCTTGAAGGAAATTAAAAGTGCTACTCCAGTGAACCCACAAATGACAAGAGGGCAAAACAGACTTACTGCTGATATGAAAAAAGTCTTAGTGATCTGAACAGAAGATCAAACCAGCCATGATATTCCCTAAGACAAAGCGTGATCCAGAACAATGCCCTGCCTCTCTTTAATTTTACGAAGAGTGAGAGAAGAGAGGAAGTGGTAGAAGAAGAGTTGGAAGCCAGCAGAGGTTGTTCATGAAGTTTAAGGAAAAGCTGTCTCTGTAACATAAATTTCAAGGTGAAGCAGCAAGTACTGATGGAGAAGCTGTAGCAAGTTAACTGCAAGATCTAGCTAACATCATTGATGAAGGTGGTTACACTGAATAACAGATATTCAATGTAGATGAAACAGCCTTCTGTTGGAAGAAGATGTAATCTAGGACTTTCATAGCTAGAAAGGAGAGGACAATTGTTTGGCTTAAAAGAACAGACTTTCTTGTTAGGGACTAATGCTGCTGAAGATTTTAAGTTGAAGCCAGTGTTCATTTACCATTGGAAAATTTTAGAGCCCTTAAGAATGATGCTAAATCTACTCTGTATGTGCTCTATAAATGGAACAACAAAGCCTGGATGATGGCACATCTCATTGCAGCATGATTTACTAAATATTTTAAGCCCACTGTTGAGACCTGCTGCTCAGAAAAAGTGATTCCCTTTAAAGAATTACTGCTTATTGATAATACACCTAGTCACCCAAGAGCTCTGATGGAGATGTACAAGGAGATCAATGTTTTTGTTCATGTCTGCCAATACAACAGCCTTTCTGTAGCCCATGAATCAAGGAGTAATTTTGACTTTCAAGTCTTATTATTTAAGAAATACATTTTGTAAGCCTGTTGACAGTGAGTCCTCTCATAGATCCAGGCAAAGTAAATTGAAAACCTTCTAGAAAAAATTCGTTATTCTAGATTCCATTAAGAACATTCATGATTCATGGGAGGAGTTCAATATATCAACACCAAGGGGAAATTAGAAGAAGTTGATTTCAGTCCTCATGTGTCTTTTTAGGGGTTGAAGACTTCAGTGAGCAAAGTAACTGCAGATGTGGTGGGACTAGCAAGAGAACTATTTATAGAATTAGAAGTGAAGCCTGAAGATGTGACTGAATTGCTGTTATCTCATAATAAAATTTAAATGGATGAGTAGTTGCTTCTTAGGGATAGCCAAAAAGGTGATTTCTTGAGATAGCATCTCCTCCTGGTGAAGATACTATGAACATTTTTGAAATGACAACTAAGGATTTAGAATATTCCATAACCTTAGTTAATGAAGCAGTGGCAGGGTTTGAGAGAATTGATTCCAATTTTGAAAGAAGTTCTATTATGGATAAAATGCTATCAAAGAGCATTGCATGCTACAGAGAAATCTTTCTTGAAAGAGCAAGTCAATGTGACAAACTTCATTGTTGTCTTATTTTGAGATATTGCCACAGCCACCCCAACCTTCAACACCCACCACCCTGATCAGTTAGTAGCCATTAACATCGAGGCAAGACCCTACACCAACAAAAAGATTAGGACTCAACAAAGGCTCAGACGATTGTTAGCATTTTTTAAAAATAATAAAGCATTTAAAAATTTATGTAAAGTGTTTTTAAAAATATATATATAATGCTATTACACACACAGTAGACTGCAATACAATATAAACACAACTTTATGTGCACTGGAAAACCAAAACATTCATGTGACATTGTGATATTCATTTTACTGAGGTCTGCTAGAACCTAACCTGCAATCTGTCTGAGATATGCCTGTAATTTGAGATATAACTTCTACTACACAGCTGTCTGGTTCTCCTTGTGGGCAGGAACCCACACCAGAGTGTAGATTTATTGGCCTGATTTATGTGTAGTTGAACTTTTCATTTTTAATGGCTTGTGTTTTTTTGAAAGTCTTATGTGAGGTGGGACTGCAGTATTTGAGCACAGTGGTATGCTTTGCTTTCTTAGATTACTGATTCTTTAAAAGAAGTGGGTAAATGTAGCAAGATTATTTTCTAATTACTATTATGAATGAACAGATGCTTAAGGAGAAAAAATTTTCTGGCATGTATGTTTTTTTCCTGAAAAGTCATTCGATCTCTTGTTTTTTGAACAAGAGATATTCATATTATCATATTGCTTTACTTATGAAAGATGGGAATATTCTTTTCTCTCTGATGATATGAGCTATTAGTCCGGCTTGCTTGTTACTGACTGTTACGGAAGGGAGATGAAAAAACATAACTGTTGCTTTGATAAAAAGCAATACCCATTTTTAGGTGTAGAAGTGGCAGTGTTAGTGAAGAATAAAGATAAGCTGGGGTGATTACATTTAGCAAGATATTTTGAAGAAACACTGGCCTTTCAAAAAAGGTAGGACAGAAATCTAAATGAGAATGTCTTTAAGTGGTTGGAGTGGGTGTTACATTGTGTGGGTGGGGAAGAGAGCAATGGTAATTAGTTTCTTTTTTTTTAAATTTTTAAAATTTATTTTACTTCTTTTATTTCCACCTATTTTTTTTCTGAGGCAGTTTACAAGGCAAGTAATTTATTTCTTGAAACCACTAGCTAGCTCCCAGGGGATTTGATTTGATGGCGATTTGAGAGAGGGAAATTAAATAGGGTCCAGCTCTTCTTGTACGGTGATTCTTGGCAGTGCTGCCAGCCCTTGGGTGAGCGAGGGCATCGAAATGTGGGTGGTTGTAAGTAGCCAGGCAGATTAAAAGGCTGCCCTCATGGAAGGTCTCTTCACCTTTGCCCGCCACAATCAGGTCATCAGGCATTTTAAGGCAGGTTTATGGCTGTCCTGTGGTCCAACCTTGGGGCTAGGTACTCCTTAATCTTCACATTTATGTTTTCAATTTTTGCAATAAGTAAAATCCCGAACTTTATAAAATTAATGACTTGAGCATGCAAGTGAATAGCTTCAAAGAGTTACTTGGCTTAGGGTAGATTTCAAGGTATGGTCCATGCTAGAATATACTTATTTCTCATACTCTTTCTTCGATCACCTTAACAACAACAAAAAGGCCTTATGAGAAATAGGCAAACTTGAATACATGTAGAGCTACACTGCTCAGATTTAGAACCTGAGTTGGGGAAAGAGCTTTGCAAAGAGAAGTGTCTGGGAGGATGTTGTCACAGGCAGGCATAGGTGGGGCAGGGAAACGTTAGCCCCTCTTGCTGTGGTGGACGCTGTCAGAGGGTCTGATGTGTCATTAGGGTTGATTAGCTTCATTTGTGATAGAAACGCCCTTTTTGAAAGACAGTTCCTCTGTATTTGTACTCAAAGCTGTTTAAATCTTGAGAATCAAATATTTCTGAGGGTTGTAACTTCTTTTTTTGGCAATTGGAAATTTGTTGAAGTGATGTAGTAAAAATCTGGAGTTGCGCCCAGGGTGAAAAGGATTAGGGAGTTATGGCCCAAGATCTATAAAGCTTCTCCTGCTGATATTCAAAATATTTTTTTCTCTTCCTATTATGACTTCCGATTTAACTTCTGAAGAGTCAATTCAGACCTCTGCATTCTTTGCGTGTTTTGAATTTAGCTCAGTTCTCCGTAGAGTCCATCAGAATATACTTTTTGTACATGGTATAATCAGGGTACGGATTAGGCCTTTTGTCATGTGTGGGAGAGAGACGTTGTGGGCAGTAGGCAGTGAGCAAATGAATTAACGTTATTTTGTGTTATTTATAGTCATTTTAAATAGTAAACAAATTTTATATTTTGGACTTTCCAAAATGGTAATCTTTCATTTTTAACATTTAGCTTAGTCTGATACGTTTAGACCAGTGGTTCTCAAACTGTAGCATGCCTGGAAACCACGTGGAGGGCTGTGGTGGGGCTGTTGAACCTTCCAGTGGCTGCCCTGCAGCCTAGAGGTGTGGGTGGGTCCTGACCGTTTGCATTTGTAATGAATTCCTAGTTGGTGGTGTTGCCAGTTGGTCTGGGGGTCACCCTTTGCAAACCACTGAGTGGATCCCAGGCTGAGTGTAGGTGTCCTGGTTCACACAGGCTTTGAGGTTTGAAAGATCTGGATTTGAATCCCTCCTCTGTTGCTGGCTAGTTCTTTGACTTCAGGCAATTTCTTAACCTCCATGTTTTCATCTCTAAAGTGGAAATAATATAGTTATAAATATTCAGTCAGCTCAAGTGTGTAGAAGCTTATGGAACCGTGCCTGGCAGATTGCAAGCAAGTTGGTTTTTTTGTGGGTTTTTTTTTGAGACAGAGTCTTACTCTGTTGTCCAGGCTAGAGTGAGTGCTGTGGCGTTAGCCTAGCTCACAGCAACCTCAAAACTCCTGGGCTCAAGCGATCCTCCTGCCTCAGCCTCCCAAGTAGCTGGGACTACAGGCATGCACCACTATAACCAGCTAATTTTTTCTATATATATTACTTGGCCAATTAATTTCTTTCTATTTATAGTAGAGACAGCGTCTCGCTCTTGCTCAGGCTGGTTTCAAACTCCTGACCTCGAGCAATCCGCCCACCTCGGCTTCCCAGAGTGCTAGGATTACAGGCATCAGCCACTGCGCCCGGCCTAAGCAGGTTGGTTTTTAATCATAAAAAATGACTTGGTGTATGAAATAAGTAGTAATATCCTGAATCTTATAAAATTAAGGTAAGGACAGAACATTTTTTATTTATCCTCATTTCCTAGCCCTGTGCTGGGGAAAAAAATACAGGTACTCTGTTGCTATTTAATGAATGGAGGAAAAATTTGTGGATCCTAGTAATTTTCCAGAAACATTCTTTAGACACAGATTATTCATATAGCTGGTGCCTTCCTCTGCCTCCCCAAAAAGGTAGAATGCTTTGATCACAGTATGTAAGACTTCCACAATAATCTGTATTGTCTACACTTTATATAACAGGAGTATTAAAGGTTGTTCCGGGAGTTAAATTACAGGAAGTATCTGCAAGTCCTCTTCAGAACACACTCTTACCTATAGTGTGACAGCTTTGTATTTGATGACCTCGCATGCAGTTCTAAAGCATCTCTTCCCCCAGCTTGCTGAATGCCTGGTGAATTTCTCACTGCAGATCTGGGGCAGTCCACCTCTCTCTGGCGATCCTCTGAAAAGTAGAACCCCTCTCTCCATCACTCTCTGTCACAGTCACTCATTTCCTTTGTAGAGGTTACCACACTCTTATCATCATCTTATTTGTTTACTTTTTATTGTTTCCTTCACAAGTTTGGCCTAGACTCTTAGAGAATTCAGTTAAAGTCAACCACAGTTTATCGAGCATTTACTGTTGTCAGTCACTGTGCTGGGCACTGAGGATGTGACATTGAACAGGCCCCGTGCTGGACCTGCTGTCCTGGGGCTTACTTAGTAAGGGAAGAGCAGTTCCTAATTTGTTTCCCTTTCCATTCGTGTTGCTACCGCAGTGGGATTAGAATAGCAGGGAAAGGCTGGAGCAGTTCTAGGCTGAGGCTGTAAGAAGCACAGCAGCTTCAGCTTCCTCCCTCTGGACCCTTAGACGCCATGTAAGAAGGGTGACTCCTCAGCTAGAGAGAGGCGCAGCCATTCCCAGATGAAGTGCCAGTCCTGGAGTAAAGCACAGTCAAGCTCACAGGTGACATAGAAACAGTGAAGCTCTAGGCCTGGAGTGCTGCTTGCAAGGGGGCGGGTTTGCTGGGAGCGTGAAAACTGGCCTGGGAAATGAAGTGCTAGAAACACACAAGAAGGAAATACACACACACACACACACACAAAAGAACAGCAGGGAAAGTTCTTCACCTGCCTCCACCAAAGGTCTTAAATCAATCAGATGAACAAGGCTCTATAAACATGAAATATTTATATAATACCGATTGCTTGGACTCAGCCATACAGAGGAAACTGTCTTTACCTGTAGACAGTGTGTAATCAGAACAGGAGCTTTAAGGATGCTTAACTTCTCAGAATCTCACTTTCTGTATTTGGGAATTGGTACTAATTATAGCTTGTGAATATCAAATGAGATTACTAAGGCAGAGTGGCCTGGCATTAAGAGATGTTTAATAAATGATGGCTGCTGTTATTGCTTCCGTTTTATGTGTATTTGAGGAAGTAAATATCAGAGTGTGCTAAGGTTTTCTTAGATAGTCATCTTATTTTTTTCTAGCACCACAGTTCTTATAACCTTTTTGAAAAAAGTTCTTGTGGCACAGATAAATTATGTTCATGAGGATAAAAACATGTTTCCAAGAATGTACTAACTGAAATTCCACCCCCTAGGAAAGCACCTTGGAATGCAGATCAACAAGAATGACATCATTATTGGGAGGCACAGTGACTGCTGGTTAAAACCTTGGACTGAGTATTCTTGGGCAAGCTACTTAACCCATCTACGCCTAAATGTTTTTATCTATAAAAGAAGGATACAGGGGCCAAGTGCAGTGGCTCACACCTATAATCCCAGCACTTTGGGAGGCTGAGGCAGGAGGATCATTTGAGGCCAGGAGTTCAAGACCACCCTGGGCAACATAGGGAGACCCTGTCTCTCCAAAACAAAAAATAAATAAAAATACAAAAATTAGCCAGTCATGACGACATGTACCTGTAGTCCCAGCTACTCAGGAGGCTGAGGCAGGAGGATCCCTTGAATCCAGGAGTTGGAGGCTGCGGTGAGCCATGATTACACCACTGTACTTGAGCCTGGGTGACACAGTGAGACCCTGTCTATAAAAAAGAAAAAAGTAGGGATACAAATAATATTTCCTGTTTTATAAGATTGTTATGGAGAATGAATGAGTTTATGTGGATAAGGTGCTTAGAACGATTCTTCGTTAGTAATATTATTATTAATTTTTTAAATGTGTTATTGAGAAAATCTTGATTCTTATTTACAAAAGAGTAGATCAAAAGCTTCATTTATTTGTAACAAATCTCAATCTCATTTTAATATACCAGTTCCTTATGTCCTATTACCCTTCCATGTGTTCAAATATTCTGTGAGTGGAAACTTTATTTTTGTTTTTCATTATGCAGATTAGATACAATATGATTTGTTAGGGAACAGTTTTTGCATTGCTGTTATAAAGACATATCAGCCTAGAACTAGGGAAAAATTGTTGCTTTTGCAACTGTTGATTTGTTTGAGAAGCTAACTGTTATATTAATCATAATTATGGGGAGATAATTAAAGATAATCAAAATATCTAAGAAAGTACAGGTAGTTATAAGAAAAGAAAGTCCTTACTCTTGAGCAAAAGGTAATGTAATTAGAGTTGGATTTGCTTGCTATTGTTATTCATATTCCTGAAGAAAGAATAGTTTTGCGAGTCTCAAGTATTGGCCCTTAAGTTTTTACCAATTGTCTTTATAATGAAAGTGTCATTAAGAAATTTAAAAATTAAAATTCAGATTTTAAAATGACTTATAAGGTGCTCTGTGAATAGCCCCTGCCTGCATTTCCCTCCTCATTTTATCAGAGTTCCTCTGGCTCATTATGTTCTGGCTACATCATCTTTTGAACATATTAGGTCTTAGGTCTTTTCTTCCTCAGAGCCTAAGGTCTTGCTGGACTTCCTGCCAGATGCCCTCATCTCTCACATGGCTGTTCCCTGTCCCCCAAATGATTTAGGTCTCATTAATTGCACCTTCTTAGAGAAACTTTCCCTTTTACTCAATATAAAATATGTCTTTTCTCCACTCACAGTCCACCTCCGGCAGATGACATTCCCATGTTTGGTGATTCTTCACCTCCACCACCACCACCTCCAGTGGATTATGAAGATGAGGAGGCTGCAGTAGTTCTGTATAATGATGCATATGCAGGTGGGGATCCTGCTTTGGCCCCCAATAATTATATTGAGAAAGGTAAGATCCAGTCATCATTGAGTTACCAGCCTGGGCAATATAGTGAAACCCTGTCTCTACCAAAAAGGAAAAAATAATGAGCCAGGTGTGGTGGCTGACTTGTAGTCCTAGCTCCTCAGGAGGTTGAGGGAGGAGGATGGCTTGAGCCTAGGAGTTCAAGATTGCAATGAGCTATGATCATGCCATTGTATTCCAACGTGGGTGACAAAGTAAAGACCCTATTCCTCTTTTTCTCAAAAAAAAAAAAAATCGTTGAATTAATGTGAAGGAAAATAACCTAATTATAGAATTTTAGAGTAATAGAGAACATCTAGTCTAGTGTTTCTTTTAAAGTGCCTTATCTAGGCTGGGTGCGGTGGCTCATGCCTGTAATCATAGCACTCTGGGAGGCCAACGCGGTGGGATCGCTCAAGGTCAGGAGTTCGAAACCAGCCTGAGCAAGAGTGAGACCCCAAATCTACTAAAAATAGAAAGAAATTAATTGGCCAACTAAAAATATATAGAAAAAATTAGCCAGGCATGGTGGCGCATGCCTGTAGTCCCATCTACTCGGGAGGCTGAGACAGGAGGATCGCTTGAGCCCAGGAGCTTAAGGTTGCTATGAGCTAGGCTGATGCCAGGGCACTTTAGCCCAGGCAACAGAATGAGACTCTGTCTCAAAAACACATACAAAATAAATAAAGTGCCTTATGAACCAAAATGATTTACCTAAACCAGACTTCCTAAGCTTTATAAGTGGAAGAGTCTTCCTTTATTTTTTAAATTAAAACCATGTTATATGTGCTTTCTATATATGCTTCCAACTGGAGATTAACACACCTCTTTGTGTTTTATAGATGAAACAGGTAAGGCACAAAAAAAGAGTTAATTGAGTTACTGAATTATATATGAATGTAATTAGTAAAGATCTAAAATGTTTTGTTAAGCTCTTTTAATTTAGAATAGAAACCTTTCATATATAACTATAGATGGTCGCTGGCTTGGATGGTTCAGGATTTTTCAAAATGATGATGGTACAAAAGTGATATGCATTCACTGTGCTCCTCTTTAGGATGGCGTTCTGTCTGGATAAACCCACAGTAAGTTGAAAATGTACCTAATTTGAAAATGCACTTTTGATTTACAATATTTTCAACTTATCTTTGTCCGGACATAACCCCATTGTAAGAAGAGGAGCGTTTATATTCAAAAATATATTGGTACTATTATGAGAAAAGCCTCAATTAAGGTTTTCAGTTAGGTGATTTTATAAAAGAGAAACAGATCACTAGGATTTTATTTCATGAAATTATATACAACTCTAAAGTGTAAATTTACCTATAGTACCTGATATTCAGTATAATTATTTATTAAGAAATACGGGTGAGGAAGAAACAACTTGTGTTGATAGATTATTCTTCCATCCAATTCTGATTTTAAATCCCTATTTCAATAGAGTTCTGAAAAATGCTTGTGATTTACTTGACCACTTTTGGTTGCCCTTGAAATATATTGCCTTTATTGGGTTAACTGACTTTAAGCAGGTAGCCGTAGCTCTTGGGACAAGTGGCATTCATTCCTGCTCAAGTTTTGAATGTGTGGCAAAAGTAAATTTTCTTTCCTGTTTTATATTTGTAATCAGTAAGTAATTTACATGTTGTTAAGGAAGCCTTGAATATTCTACTTTATATTTGGATTTCCACGTACGTTGAAATAGAGAGGATGAAAACTTGAGTAATCTTGAATTGTGTTTTTACCCATACTTTCTTATTTGGTAAAGCAAATTTAACTTTATGAAAACAGGACCATTATATTTATTTAGGTTGACAAATTTGGAATGATATATTGGTTAATACACTTCATTATTAACCAGTAGTTACAGAGCTTAAGGATTAAAAGGATTTGGACATGTCATCACAAGTTGAAATAGTGATCCTAAGCTAGGAGTCAGCATACTTTTTTTGTGCAAGGCCTGAAAGTAAATCTTTTAAACTTTGCTGGCTATCTAGTTTCTGTCGCAGCTACTCAGCTTTGTTGTAACATAAAGGCAGGCACAGACGATACGTGAATGAGCAGATGTGGCTGTGTTGCAATAAAACTTTATTTACAAAAAAGGTGGTGACTGAGATTTGTCTATGGGCCTTGCTTGCTGAACCATGGTCCAAATCAAAAATTGAGATTTAGTAGGATAGTTAAAGCCTTTATTAGTCACCTTTCATAATCAAAAGATTAATGAAACCTGGTTTAATCAGATACCAATGATACAAAACAAATATTTTGCTGACACTACACTGTGGGATAGGCTGTGGCCAATTCACACATTGCTCATGACGGTGATACTGACACCACTTCTATGAATATTAATTTCTTACTAGCTCTAAAAATTTTAAAGGACCTATCCTTTGGCTTAGTACATCCACCCTAAAACAAATATCTCAGACATGGTTCCAGTATATGGATTAAACAAAAGACATTCATTCACTGAGCACTGTTTATAGGAACAAATGACTCTAAACAACCCACGGGTTCCTCAGTAGGACTCTGGCTAAATTTACGTTTCATCCATAGATTGGGAAAGTAGAGGGCAGTTAAAAACATAAGCTAAATTTACACACTCTGACACGGTGAGATCCTCTGCCACAGGAGATGAAAAATGTAAGCTGGGAACAGTGCATAAGATTTATGAAAGATACACTTGCATGTATCTTTGATATGCGTGTAAATGCATAGAAAAGGTTTTGTATGGATAAACTTTTTTACACTTCCTTTGAGATGAGGAATGAGACCAAAAAGGTGAGAGGATTTTTTCCATTCTAACATATTTACTTTCTTTTACAAGGAGAACGTATGTCCATTCCACATGTGTAGCCAGAGAATGAAAATAATAACCAAGTCAAAAACTGCTACTGGGTGAAAGAACCGAGGAAATGTAAAGGCTGCCACTCAGGACACATGTGATTGGTGCCATTTGTGTGCATGACTGGGACCTAGCCAAATTCGCTCAATAAATTTTGCGTCCTGTCGGCCAGGCTCACATTTGAGCGCCTCGAAGAAGCGTTTCTTATATCTACTGAACTGAAAGGTCAGGCGTGCCACAAATTTGGGGCCAGTAGGGTGACAGGTCAAACCACGTGCTCCTCAACGGATGCCTCGGCCCCGGGCGAGAGCAGCCCCAGCTCAAACAGACTTCCTTAAAATTTCTCCAGGAAACCGTCTGGCGTGTGACGGAGGGAGCTCCATCCAGCAGCTGCTTTTCACACCATTAACCCGAGTAAGAACCTTGCCTGTGCTTCCCGCAAATGAGCCTCAGTCACTCTCAGGTGGTGCCAGAGGCTGAGTGGGCGCCAAAGAGCAGGCGGGAGGTGGTGATGGCATCTGCCCCTGAGCTGCAGTTGGAGTCGGAGCCACCAAATGCTGCAAGCCCGGAGTCACAGGAGGCCCTGTGTGGGATCAGGGATAAGAATAGCCAGCAAGCTCCACTTCAGGGCAGTCCTTGGAGCAACAGCGGTCGCAGGAGTAAGGGACAAACAACCTGTCCCTGTGGGAGCCGAAAATCCAGACGTCCCAGGCCATGGGCTGGCACCACTGCCATACCGACCGCCTGGATGCGCGGTTCTCCCACACCTTCGGGTGGCTGGGTTGGGCGGTGGGCGCGCACCCCTGGTTCTTCCTGCGGATGCCCACGATGCTGGCAGCCACGCTCGGCACCGGCCTGATCTACCTGCCCAAGGACGGAGACAAAGACCTCGAGGAGCAGTACACCCCGATAGGGGGCCCCGCCAAGGCCGAGAAGCACTTCG